TTCATGCCCATTGCTGGTTGGCTAACTAGCAACAGGGTCTTGCCAGCCAATGGAATTGTGTGATTACAAGCCAGGGGAATCCCATAAAAGAGGGCTCCCCTGGCCCAGAGAGCCAGTCCGGATTTACTTTATGCCTTGCCAATAAACCAAGAGCTGACTGTCACTCGACTCGTGTCTTACTGCCTGCGCGATCTAACAATTCCTCTTGGAGGGCGACCCCTCCCCCCCCACATTTCTTGCCTGTTTGCTGCTGCCAGCACAGGTGGCTGCCACAGCAGTTGTAGATCGGCTCATGGCCAGCCTGCTTGATTCCTCAGCCTGCTTGATTCCTCCTCCTCCTCCCTCCTCACAGCTGACTCCACCTCCTCCCAAGGCTGCTGCTTTTTTCTCTCTCCCTCTCCTGCCCAAACTGCCTCCTTTTATAGCCTCTCCTGTCTCCACCCCCCTCCTCCTTTCTCATGGGGGAGGGTGAGCCAGAAGTGAGCCTGGGGCCTTTGCAGCTCCAGAGGACTCTCTCACTGTAAGTCCTTGCCTGTGCTAGCTCTTTCCCTCCCCCACTACACTTGGCTAGGCAGGGCTGCGTACCGCCTGCCACTCATTACTGTACCACAAGTGGTACACCTACCACCGGTTGAAAAGCCCTGCTATAGAAGATAATAAAATGTTTTGCCTTCCTCAGACTCATGTGAAGGGTTAATGGTGAAAACACTGGAAGTGGATGCCACATATGAAATTGCAAAGAGGTCACACAATTGGCTGAATGCTTACTTAGCTCTAAATTATGTGATACAATTGCTTAACTGTGCTGACTTGTGGCAGGATTGGAGTTTGTGACCCCTTCCCCAAATTGCCCATGTTCTTGTTCAAGGATGGGTGGTATTTTATTTGCCATTTTACTTGTTTCTCAGTTTGAATAAAAGAGCCCAGAATGGTCAGGAATAAGAAATGCAAATAATAAAAGTTTTATTCCAAATTATTCTCCCCTACTTAACATTTGCCTTCCAGTACTAGAAAAACCTGTCTAGATGTTGGTTCAGTTCCTGTCCAGCAGTTGACTTACTCCATTAATACCTGTTTCCCATACCAGCTTAAAAAAGATTATCTGGAAGGTGTTGGTATTTTTAACCACTAGACCAAAATGGCCCTGCACATTCTAATTAGAATCTATAAAATGAGATTGCTGTAATGACAGTTTATCTTACTGGGATAAAGAAGGGAAAAACTACCAGTACTACAAAGGAAATACACAGTAAATAATAACTGAAGTATAAAATTGGTAGTTTTTACATTTTCCATACCATGTTTCCTTGTCCCGCAAGACAAATGATAGACATTTAGTTATTTGTATCTAATTGTCACTTACCCTTTATCCCTTCCCAGATTGGCACTGGATTCTCGGATGAGGACTTAGAGAAACTCCATAGCTCACTCAAGGTAGGACTGCAAAACAAAAAGCTCAATACTGAGTTTGAAATAGCCCATTTTGAACTGGAAATGGCCTATCATACAAGATGTTCAGAGGATTTGGGCTGTATTTCAAGTTCTGTGCCAAAAAGTACACTTTATATGTGATGTAGAATGTTTCAAGAGGGTCACATATTCTTAGTACTCACCATACTCTCTGCCTTACAGGACTATGTGATTCCTCAGCCACGACCATACTATCGTTGGGGTGGAACAGCTGAACCTGATCACTGGTTGGAAGCCCAGCATGTTTGGGAAGTGAAGTGTGCTGATTTATCCATTTCTCCCATCCACAGAGCAGCATCAGGTTTGGTGAGTGATGGGTGACATTGGAAGGTATCTATGTATGTATAGCAAGGACTTAATGTAATTTGTACTTACTGCAAATACTCTATAAACTGTTAATTGGCTATCATTACTCAGGAAATATTTTGAGATCACAGTTTTCTGGCAGTATTCGTTCAGTATTCTGTAGCAATTTCAACACATTTTCAGCATTTTCTTAGGAAAATTTCTAAGGCTACAACTTCAGCTGTTGAAATGACATTTTAAAATTAGAAATGTCTGTTACCATTATAATTTGTATAGGCCCTAATTACTGGAACAATTTATTTTACTTTTATATATAAGGTACAAACGTTTAACTTGTAATGCACATATTTAAATATACAGTAAGCAACAGCTGTTCAGTAATCTATACTGGAAGGAAATGCAGGAGAACTGTATTGTGGATGATCTGGCTGTAATCTCAAAGTTTAAATTTTATTTGTTGGTTTGAATGTGTAAAATTACCATAATTATGTATGTTTTTGATATTCAATTTGAAATACTACATTTCCAAATGCTGTGTCAGCAACAAGAATGACTGGGTAGAAAAAATATAAAACACTAAATAACAGTTTACAATGGGAATTGAGATTGGGCACTAAGTGGTACAGTCATAAACGTGACATCATGTGACCATGTCACTTAGCAATGTCCATTCCAGCACTTCCTGGTTGCCATCATTAAGCAAATCCCCCCCCCCAAATTAAGCGAAGATATATATTTGCAATTTGCAACCTCCTGCCAGCTTCCCTATTGATTTTGCTTGTAGGAAGCCAGTAAAGGCCACAAATGATGATCATGAGATTGTAGCACAATCATAATTGCAAGTCGGCATCAAGCATGCAGGTTGGGATCACATGACTGAAGATGCTGCAATGGCCAGAACTTCAATGACAAGTCATAAGTGCTGCTTGTTCAGCTCTATCACAACTTTGGTCACTGAATGAATGATCATTAATCAAGGACCACCTGTAATGGGGAAATAATTTTAGAATTTGCTCTTAACCTAATGTAACTTTATTAATGCTAGAAGCATGTTCAAGGATTTGATAAGATCTGGTGGATTTTAAGCCCTTCGCATAACTCATAAACTCAGAGCCTTTCTAAGAGAGTTCAGATCTCATTGTTTCAGAAACTAGTGAAGAGTCATTTTGGTAGTGCTGGTTTTTCTACTCTAACAAATCATATAGTAGGACTATGCATGTCTCAAAAATGATGTATGAGTGTTTCTGATCTCATATAAGCATCTCACCTCTGCTGTTACACATGCCAAAGTATGTAAATTTACAGGCTATGTATTACATTATAATATTTCAGTCTTGCCATAGATCAGACATGTGAAACTCGCAACGTCATGTGACGTTGCGCAACGTATCGGGACGGTTTTGCCATTGCCGGCAATGGGGTAGGCGCAGCTTCCAGATGACGCATCCGGGCCGGCAGTTTAACACCCCTGCCATAGATAAATAAGTTTTTGCAAAGTTGAAACAATAAATATTATCTGTTATAGCCAATGCCTTAACATAATTTTTTATATTTGAATATGGTTACTTCAGTATATAATGTGTGTGTGTGTGTGTGTGTGTGTGTGTGTGTGAGTGAGTGAGAGAGACAGAGAGAGAGAGATACCAAAGTTGCCCCCAGAAGTTATAGTCTTGTGGATGGATTAAATAGTAATTGGATTGTTAAAGATCTAGTTCAGGGCTTTTCAACCTTTTCATCCATTGTACCACTTTTAGGATATGGCAATATCCGAGTAACACTAGTTGCCTAGCAAGGTGTCAAAAACTTGATGACCAAAAAAAAAAAAAAAGGAAAAAAGTGATAAAGTACGGGTAGTCCTCGTCTTACATTTCACTTAGTGACTGTTCGAAGTTACAATGGCACTGAAAAAAGTGCCCCCCAAGCCACAGCCGAGCAAGACACCTGCCTGCCCACCCGGCGGCGCTCTTCCTCCTGTCCGAGGTTTTCATTGTTGTGAGCATTTCTGTTGAGGATTGGCAGCGGGGGTGAGGCGGGGGGGTGTTTGGTTTTTATTCCCCCTGTCTGCTGGGTGGTTGCAGCAGGTTTTGGTCACTTCACATGACCCTGGGACACTGTGACCGTCATAAATATGAATCAGTTGCCAAGCATCTGAATGTAAATCACAAGACCCTGGAGATGCTGCAACATTCCAGCTGATTGGCGCTTCTTCTGGGCTCAGCAGAAGTGCCAGGATCAATGCTGCTTTCCAGCTGATTGGTGCTTCTTCAGGGTTCAGCAGAAGCACCAGGATCAGCGCCGAGCTCCAGCTGGAGCCTGGCACTGATCCTGGCACTTCCACTGAGCCCTAACAGCCCCGAAGAAGCGCCAATCAGCTGGAAAGCAGCACTGATCCTGGCGCTTCCACTGAGCACTGACAGCCCCGAAGAAGCGCCAATCAGCTGGAAAGCAGCACTGATCCTGGCACTTCCACTGAGCCCTGACAGCCCTGCAGCTCCAGCCATCTCTCGCTCAGGCTTGTGCGGTGCTGCCTGTTGTGATTCCGTGCCAGCCTGTGTTCCCAACAGCTGAGTCTGAGGAATCTGAGGAGGAGGTGGAGGAGGCCTTTGAGGGGCCGTCAGGGTCACAGGGAGGCTCTGATGAATTACAGGACTCACGGCTTGATGAAGAGCCTGGCCCCTCCAGTCGTGTTTCTGATGAAGCTCAGCTGTGTGAGGAGCATGAGTCAGATTTGGAAGGCTCACACCTGGATTTGCTAATTGATGCTCGCAGACGTCGTCAGATAGCGAGAGAAAAACAACAGCAGTTAATGCGACAACTCCAAAGTAAAAGGAGAAGGCAATGAGAGGCAACGCCCTGGGACTGCTGTATAAAAAGGGGAGGTGTGGGCGTTGCTGGTTGCTGAAGGCAACCGTTTGCAAAGTGCTTCTTGGAATCCTGGTCTGTTCGTCTTGTTTGCAACGTGTTCCTGTGGACTATTTCCTTCCTTTGGACTTGAGTTTTGCTGTTTGTGTTTTGGACTTATTGACAGGTTTGTCACCCAAATAAAAGGGATTTTGTTTTGTTTTAAAGTCTCCAGCCTATTTATCAGCAGGGGTTTGGTCCTTGTGCCTCTAACGAGGACGGCAATAGGCTGGGATAGAACACTGCCACCGGTTCAGCTCATTACCCTCCCCTGCTACCACTTTTCTAAGATGGTCGCGTACCACCTGCCAGGTGCCAATGTACCACAGGTGGTACCCGTACCACTGGTTGAAAAGCCCTGATCTAGTTATCTTTGCTAGCAAAAGAAATTACAGGGAAGGGACATAGCAATTAACCATTTCTCTTCACTGCCCAAAAAACACTGTTTCAAAGGAGACTTTAAGAAAATAGCCTTTATGAAACTTCAAGGATAATTTATTATTCCATGCAGGTGGATGAAGAAAAGGGCATCTCCTTATGTTTTCCCAGATTCCTGCGCATCCGAGATGATAAGAAACCAGAGGAAGCCACTAGCAGTGCTCAGGTAAAGATGGCAAGATATCTATATATAAATTATATATAAATGAATCAGCCAAGAATTGTTTTCAATATATGCAAAGTTGGATTCATGTCCTTTTGTATTATTACCTGTAATCATGAGAAGACAGACTAAGTAATTTTTGAAGTCTAGGGCTGTTTTTTTTGTTTGTTTTTTAATAAAGCGTTTTGCTGAAAGTGCTAAAAGAGGCAAATGTGGGCATGGACAATATTTCCATCCTTTTGGATTGAGCTTCAGATTACCCACATTGTTCAATTCTCTAAATGAAAAAATTGGCCTGGTCTGGTATGGGGTGGGGTTCATGGTAAAATAGAAGTTTTATATATACTAACATGACCCAGACTCATGAAAGGGTCATTTCAGGATACTCTCATAGCTACAAAGAAACTGTGTGTGTGTGTGTGTGTGTGTGTGTGAGAGAGAGAGAGAGAGAGAGAGAGAGAGAGAGAGAGAGAGAGGGAGAGGGAGAGGGAGAGAGAAAAAAGCAGGTAAGCAAACTACAAATTTAGGACAAGAGACCATCCTACAATTTTTATGTACAAATACTCAGCCACCTTTCTCTTAATACAGGTGGCTGAACTTTATCGGAAACAGCAGCAGATCCAAAATCAACTGTCACTGGAAAAAGATGATGATTTCTACTAATAATAAAGTTTTTCTAATTGAAGTTTTTTGGCATGAGGTCATAGTACTGAACATAACTGATGTGTATTAAGTTTGGGATAGAGAGTAAAATGGCAACTTTGGTTACAGCTTTTTGTTTCTGAGAGTTGTTTCCCAGCTGAATGAAATTTCTTTGATCAGGTATGAAACTTAAGTTGGTGATAGTATATAAATAAACCTTGATATTTTTAAATTCCTGTTTATGTGGTTTGAGACATCTTCCTGGGACATCTATAAGTTTGACTCAGATCAAGTGTTTAAAATAAGTGTTTATTAGTGCATAGTTAGGTACAGGTAGCTTAAATTCTATAAAGTGTACATAAAAAAGCTATTACACAGCTTCAGGACTGTTGTCTAGGTTTGGGGGGGGGGGAGGACACCATCCCAGTACAGCTTTCCCTGATAATCCCAGTAGTGGCCACAAACTGGCTAATCTTAGCTCTTTCCTACAACAGCAGTACCAATTTCTTTCAAACTAGATTCACTCTCTTCTTCCTACATCATTCCTTTTCTCTACAACTCTGCATCTGTCTTGCATTACACACTATCTCCTACCCCAAAGGGTAATGCAGGCTACTAAGTGCCAACATTTCCCAAACATAATTTCTAACATGCTTGTTCTGTTCTATATACACTGTTCCATCGCCCTCCCCCATATGAACTTTTCCTTTCATGAGGGTAGAGGGAGGACTCCTTGCCTCTAGGGGGTGGTACGCAAGCGCTGACTGCGTGCCTTGTATACTTCAATGAGCAGGTCCTTGACGTACTGGATCTCTCTCTCAATAGATTCTGCTTTCTCTCGCAGATCACGATTGCGTGCCTCCAAGGCCTGGCACTTGTCCCCCAATGCTTCGTGTTCAGCTCGTTTACGCTGACGGTACCGCAGGGCTGCTGTCTTGTTCTGATCTCTCTTCTTCTGGCGTCGATCCCCTTTAGGCGTTAGCACAAGTGACTGCTGAACTGAGGCACATAATTCATTGCCCTGCAGGGGGAGCTCAGCAGGCGTTTCCCCACCATAGAGCTCCAACAATTCTAAGCAACTGGAATCCAAGGTTTGCAAGGGTGCAGGTGTACTGTGGGGGTGGTCCAGTGAATGGAAGCCATCACCAAAAGGAAAGTGAAAATTCCCATCAGAGGGAGGGGTGCTGGGTGCTACCTGGTCAGGTGAGAGAGTTTCCTCCAAGAAATAATCCTCCATCTGCTCCAACTCTTTTTTGAGCAGTGAGGCCATGGCCTCCAGGTCCGGAGCAGGAGGAGAGGGCAGTGAGAGTGGCGAGGACTCCCCTGACACACTCAGGAGCGTGGCCAGGTCTGTGTGTTCCGTCATCCAGTCTGAGAAGCCATCGCCTGGGGAGTAGCAAAGCAAAATCAGACAAAATCACAACTTAAACAAACAAGAAAGTAAACTTGATGTTCATGTGCATTTTCAGAAATGTACCAGAACAGAGCTTGTTACAGTGTGTATGGAATATTTCAGAGAAATGTGTTATCTGAATTAGTATAGGAACAACAAAATTATAGTATGGGGTAAACAGAAGCCAAAGTGTTGGTGATGGGGAAAGAAGCTAAGGGAAGGAATAATGAAAAACTATTAAAAGCCCTATTTTTTTCCTTGCTTAACTATCAAATTTGGGCTGTAAAAATGTATACATCCCCTAGATAAGAGCAAAAAAATTCAAGATGCTAACTCTTTCCTGCCATCTCCTAATCATCTGAATGTGTATCCTTACCCTTGGTTCCAGATTGAAAAAAAGATATCAATTGACCATGCAGATTAGGCCTCAGATAACTAAATGGATTCATCTTGAAGTCTTTACTATCATCTCAACACTATGAGGGGCCTTTCAGAATGTTAGCACTCAACTATATTAAAATAGCCTAGCAAATTAGTATTAATCTTATGTCCCTAAAGAGAATATTCCTTGCCTTTTATACATGTCAATTTTCTCAAATTCTAGGATTTATTCTATTCTCAAACTGGTCACCTGTTAGCACTGGGCGCTCCATGCTGAGGGCAAAGCCCTGATCCACAGGTCCAGGTAGCAGCTCACTGTGACTGGCATGGGGCAGCCGGTGCTTGAGCAGCTCCGGCCTGCAGGACATGGTGCTAGCTGGGATCATGGTCAGGTCCAGGGTCAGTGCTGCCAGCAGAGACATTGTATTGGTGATCACTCAGGTTCAGTGCAGGATTTGTACGTAGCAGGCAAGACGTGGCTCTGCTCCTGCAGGCAAGGATAGTGGTGGTGGTGGTGGTGGTGGTGGCAAAAGGGGACCTGGAAAGCGATAGAAATATTTTCTCAATGAAATCACTAGCCAAGATTTATTTTTATTTGTAGAACAGATCAGACAGAATTTGTTTTACCTGTAGCAAAAATCTTAGCACTTTGTTCTGTGGTACAATCAACTTGTGTGAAAAGGCCTCTGTTGGCAGGCCAATTACGGATACATAACTAGGCTGAGACAATACCCTCTACAGGTAGTCCTTGATTTATGACTACAATTAGGCCCAAACTTTCTGTTGCAAGGCAGTTGTTAAGAGAGTCACACCCCATGTTATGATCTTTTTACCACAGTTAAGTGAAACAGTGCAGCCGAGTGAATCACGTGGTCATTAAGCGAATCTGGCTTTCCCCACTGAGTTCTGTTGTCAGAGGTCATAGATGGCAATCCCATGACCCCAGGACCCTGCAACCATCATAAATACATGCCAGTTGCCGGAAGTTTGATCATGACCATGGGGATGCTGCAGCGGTGATAAGTGTGAGAATCAGTCATAAGTAACTTTTTTCAGTGTCATTGTAACTTTGAATGGTCACTAAATGAATAGTTGTAAGTCAAGAACTACATGTAATAGGTATCTAATTACAATTAGGCCCAGCAAAATGTTAGCCAAATTAAGGGTGTCCGACTCTTCAAAATACCAGGGAAAGCATGCAACAGGGACAATGAGCTTTGCTCCCTGCATCAGTACTGCAAGCACCATACTTCTAACAATTGGAACTCTCCCCCCATGTGTTGGACTTCAACTCCCATAATCCTCAGCCAGCATAGGTTTTATGGAAGTTTGGTCCAAGACCTCTGAAGATTCCAGGGCGTACTGGCAGGTGTAGACACGCATGTTTGCGGGAAGAGGCAGTGACAGCGCTGCGGTCACACAAAGGCTCCGCTCGCGGCCCGGCTTTTCTCAGTGGGGTTACGCAAGCCGCATCTGCTTCCTTCCCTAGAGAGCAGAATGTCTTACTGTACTCCCCGATGGAAAGAGGGGCGGGCAGACAAACAGGTTTTAGCATGCTAGGAAACGGAGAGGAGGTAGGGAGGAGAGGAAACACAGCATTGTTACTCTGCTCTACAGAGATCTGGAAAATCTCAACATCCTGAACGTGTCGCCTCCGCTTCGTTACTTTTCCTTCGGTTATCCCCCCCCCCCCCCGGGTTGCAAGAGTCTTTCTGCCATCGTAAGCGACTCCCACTCCTTTTCCGAGAGTGGGCCGGGAGAAGGTGAATGGGAAGAGACAGCATCCCAAAATATTACTTACTCCATCTTGCTTGTTCTGTTGCAGCGTGCAATACACGCTAGTTTTCCTTCGGGATCCACGCAGCCCTAGAAAGCCATGTCCTCGATCTCGCGTGCCTCACCGGCGCTCTAAATCTCAAATCCTAAATTTGTGACAGGAGCAGAATGAGTCACAGCGGGGTGGAGCCTCCGTATATATATCCCTCTAGCCTCCAAGCCTCATCGCAGAGGCTTCGCGTATCCTTCCGCTTGCACTTTCCTGATGGATACTGCTTTCACTAATGCGCATGCTTCGGAGGTGGGGGGAAAGGAAGCTCTTAGTATTTTTTTTTCAATGCCGTTAAGGCGGCAATTGATTTTTTTTTAAAAAATGCCGGGAATCAACATTTAGCTGATACTTTCAAGAGTCATGAAAAGTTAGGCTGCCCTTAACTGATACCTTGTGTCTTTGATACGAACTGATTTCCAAACTATTTTCTTATAGAATTCCTAGTATGCTAGAAAGATCGTCCTCTTGTCCACCGCTACCCGAAGCCTGTATAGTATTTATCTGGACAGGACATTCTGTATATTTTAAAATATGAGCAGAGGCAGGCCTGTTAGTGCAGTAAGTCTTGAGACTAACTGTAAACTCCTGAGTTTGTTTCCATGGAGAATAAATGAAGCCACCAAAATTATATGAGTCAGCAATGTGCAGCAGCTGCCAAAAGAGCTAATACAATATTTGGTTGTATAAACAGACATAGAATCAAAATCGTGTGAAGTATTTGTACTGCTTTATAAAGCCTTAGTAAGGCCACACCTGGAATACTGCATCCAGTTTTGATCACATTACAAAAAAGATGTTGAGACTTTGGAAAAGGTGCAAAGAAGAGCAACTAAGGTGATTGAAGGCCTGACAACAAAAACATATAAAGAATGGTTGCAGGATTTGGGTTTGGCTAGTCTAGAGAAAAGGAAGACTAGGGGGGGACATGATATCACTATTCCAGTATTTGAGAGGTTGCCACAAAGAGGAGGGGTCAATTTATTTTCCAAAGTACCAGAGGGCAGGACAAGAAATAATGGATAGAAACTAATCAAGGAGCGAAGGAACCTGGAATTAAAGAGATTTCCTAACAATGAGGACAATTAACCAGTGGAACAACTTGCCCTCAAAAGTTGTGGGTACTTCATCACTGGAGGTTAAGAAGAGAGTGGACAGTCACTTGTCTGAAATGATATAGGATCTCCTGCTTGAACAGGGGTTTGGACTAGAACAGGGCTTTTCAACCGGTGGTACATGTACCACTTGTGGTACATTAATGAGTGGCAGGTGGTACGCAGCCCTGCCTAGCCAAGTGTAGTGGGGGAGGGAAAGAGCCAGCACAGTCAAGGACTTACAGTGAGAGAGTCCTCTGGAGCTGCAAAGGCCCCAGGCTCACTTCTGGCTCACCCTCCCCCATGAGAAAGGAGGAGGGGGGTGGAG